ATTGGTTCTAACTGGAAGACACTGGGCCAGTCAAAATCTAAATAGTGTCTCTTGTTTTGTCCCAAACCATCCACACTACTTGTCAGAAAAACTTTTAAATTTGACTGTTGGACACTATCAATATCAGGTTAATATAAGGTCAATATGAGGTGAATTTAAATTCCTTTGAACAAACTTTCATTGTAAATGTAGCTGCAATGAATGGACTGAACTACTGACAGTCCACATGTGATTTATCATTAAACTGATTCTCAAGTTTTCTTTCTTCCGTGTGACATGTTGATAATTGTGTATCACTGCACTGAGCTAGCGATGCTGAAGTGCTACACCAAAAAAAAAAAAAAAAGAGTAAAAAATCGAAATTAATTTTGTTCCATATTTTAAAATTTCTGAAAATGAAATGAAATTACAAAAATAGATCATCAAAACTCTGTTTAAAATTTTTTACGAAGACAATTTCACAAATATATCCATTTAATTTAATAGATCAAAATGTTGAATTCAAGTTTAATGCTGTATATAATACTAAATACTGTACATATAAAGAAAAAAATTCTGTTAGTTTTGTAATTTTGCATTGCTTTGTTCATTAAATAAGATGTGTCGAGTTTTCACAACAAAAATTGACCTAATCATAAATGTTTTTAAACATTTAAATATATTTTATTAAACATTGAAAAGAAAACAAAAATGCAAGTGATCTCATGTCAAATCAAACCTAGAAAATGTATCTTAGCTGTTGAGAATTAGTGTTTCTATGATATTTTTTTTATTTTCCGCTGTTTTAAGTAAACATATTTGTTTCTTAACAGAAAAACAAGAATTAGTTGTGTAGTTTTACATAGATTTATTTGTTTAATGAGAGATATCTGGTATAATTACAGACATTTTCTGAATAAAATCTTCCTAATACATACATGTATAATATATTTTATTATATGTTGTTTTGACAAATATAAATATCCTTCATTGAACATTAAAAGCCCCCCAAAATGCACACGATTTTATTTAAAATAAAGGCTACATAGTGTATCTGAATTAGTGTCTTTAAGAGGCGGTTATCTTCCGTTATCTTACAGTATTTTTTTGGCGCCCCAGCTACCAGAATATTCCCCTTTTTTTTTTTTTTTTTTTACCACTTTTGTTGTTGTTGTTTTTAACTGTGCAGCATTACGCAGCTCCGACAAAAGATTTTATTGTTGGTAATTTGGCTCGTAAACTGATGCTAAATAGATGATGTTAGCTCCCCAAAACACGCTGTATTTACTTTAAACACTTGAGTCAGGGGCGTGTCAATGGGCCTAATGGTCAGAATTGCGTTTGGTGTGTGTGTGAAGCGGTCAAGGCGCCTGCCATCCCACCTGCATCTCATTAGCACAACAACAAGGTGCAATAACATTAACACCGCTGTCCCCTCCCAAAACACAGGTATCTAATAACATATCTGTCCAAACACACACACATCCGGTTATTTACTGACCCCAATTCAGGGAAAACTTGGAGGGCAACTTGAATTAATCATTTGTAGAGGCGGCAGTCAGTGACGCACACACAAAGTTGTGTTTCCTTCCCTTCAGAGGACGACTTCTATTTATTTCGTGCAGCCTGAGCAGGTTTTCACCTTAAACTTTAACGATTTACCAAATGAGGATTTGGTTTTTGTTCCCAAAACTGAGGCTGGACCCCAGAATGTGGCTGAGTGAACTGATTTATGTCCCCACAACATGAGCAACACAACTACACACACACACACACACACACAGGTACGACACAAACGCAGGGAGGCGGTCGACCACATAGCGCCGGCTGGCATTAGCACAGCTCTTATCTGCTTTATGACTTCCACTCGGACTCGTTTATTTGTGTACTTTGACTTTCGCTGTAAAGCCCTGTCCGACCTGAAGTAGCACCGCCATGTGTCAAAGGTCAAATCTGGAATTTATTTCAACACATAAATTTCAGCTAAACACACTCAAACTTGGGCCACGTGAAGAGTTTGACCCGCATATAAACGTAAACGGAGTGTGCAGCCTTTCTACCTGGTTGGTGATTTATTTGGAGTTTTTTTGTAAATTTGGAAGTTGGCAGAGCTTTGCAGCAGGCCGAGCTTTGCTCGTACGTTTCTCCTGGTGGCTCACTTGGCCAAAGCAGCTATCATGTAACCGTGTTTGAATCCGGGCCAGGACCTTTGTAGTTGGTGAGTGAACCTTCCCTCCCTCACATTTCCTGTCTCGCTTCATAATAAAAACTCTCCAGCGGAGGCAAAACAATAATCCTGGAGGATTTTTCTCAGGCTGAAATGAAATTTATTGGTGGAGTTTAACTGCTGGGAGTTTTTATAGGGACACCAGGTAGCTGACTGAGAAACTTGAATGTGAAAAACCTTTTCTCATCAATGTATTTTAATGATGTTATAAGCAAAAAAATAAAGAATAAATTTTTTAAAAAGTAATTAAAGAAATTATGAAATCTGGCAGCAAAGGTGCCACAAAAATGCACTAAAAACTGTGAAATATTTTGATGTTCAAAACAAGTGAAAACTGTGAAAATAACAACAATTGTCTATAAAATTATTTTATTTTTAACTCATTTAAATAGCTTAAAATATCTGTATTATAAAAGAACAAATTGCTCTTTCTTAAAATACTGATTTTGATGTTAACATGATGTAGAGCCTTGGCCTATTCTTTTGTTTTTCTTTTCCGTTGACATAAATGATTTTTTGTTGTTTTTTGGGGGTTTTTTTTTAACATAAATGGAAAAATCTGTAAAATAACAGTTTAAAAAAGGTTATGTTTCTCAGTCTTTAAGATACATCACTTTTCTTATAAATAACTTTTTTTTTGTAAAATAACAATATTTATCATGGTACAGTGTAATTTCACATTCAAACACTGTAAAAGAACACATTTACAGAAATACTGTGTTTTGATGTGGACATTCTTTACAGTTTTGGCCTGATTTTTGTTTCCTTTTTAATAAATAACACAATTTTTTTCGCTATGATTTTACTTGGTAATATTTATAATTTAACAAAACATGAAACATCTGTAAAATACCGCCTACTGGTAAGTTACAACATAATAATATTACAGTTATGTATACAGATCAGTTCGTTCCCTCTTTTTTCAGTGCTGTAGAGTGTGTTTGAAGACTTCAGCTTTTAGTAAATCAAGAAACAGAGCAACATGATAACAGACATGGTTAAAATCGTCTTCCATCCAATCATAATATATTTTGACTTTTATTTTGTTTCGTTTTTTGTTTGGACACCAAAAACAGAAGTCACAATGCAGTCTGCGTGATTTTGGAAGTGTTCAAAGTCAAAAATCGGTCAGAAGTATGTGGACACCTGAATGTTGAACAAGTATGTGATTATTGAGCAAATAATCCCTAAACCACACAGATTAATCTGCTGCTACACCAGCCTCATTCTTCAGGTTTACGCCAAATTTTGCTTGCAAGTCCAGTCTCATAGTGGAAATTCAAAGTCCTCCCAGAGGTGTTGGATGTGGCTGAGGTGAGGATTCTGTGCCCTATGATCTTATACAATAAACTTTGTCAGCCTACACAATGGCACACTGTTGACTAAATGTACAGAGTGTTTGAAACATTCATAAAGGTCCTACATGCAGGGACTCAGTTATCCTTTGAGTATCCCAAAACAACACAAAAAGCTGCAATACTACAGAAGCATCCCTAGTATGTTGTTGCAACACACCTTAATGAAGCCCAGGAAGTACCAGCAGGACAGGAGTGAGAAAACACAAAGCAAACAAAGAAACAAGAGGATTCTAAACCTTATCCTGACTTTCCCTTTTTTAAAATAATAGGTGGATCATCCTCTTTTGATTTCATTTCTTTTACTCTTCTACTGTCTTGGGAACACACAACCCAGTAGCCTGAATCCTTAATAGAAGAAAACTTAGATTCTTTTGCACCCAAAATTGCAAAATTCCACATCTGAAACCATAAAAGAAGCATTTATTTTAGATGAATTTGTATCTTGATTATGGGTTCGAACAGTGAAACATAAGCTTTTGTCACTAAAGTGAGACTAAGATGTGTTGTTTCTTGTTTCCAACTCTGACGATGAATCCTAACAGAGTTCGGTGTGACAGTGATGTATATGAAGTCAGACTGAGCCAAATGTGTGAGAAAGGACAAGTTAATGAGTTAGTGAGTGCATTCATGTGTCCTCTGTTCAGTTTGATCACTTTGTTCCCATTATGGTGTGTTTTCTTTATCTCTCCTGCACGCTGACCCCCTGCTGGTGCAGCACATATTAATATATCTGTCAAACTACAACATCTCTCTTCACTTGGCTGCAGCTTTAACAACTTGCTTTTCCTCACAATCTTCGGATTCTCGCAGCCCAGTCCAACATCCAGGAGGAACTAATGCATGTGTGTCATTGTGTTAAACCAAAGCTTTCATTTGAATTAAGACTCAGTGTGTTAAGCTGATAAAAAACAGGGTTTATCTTGATTCTGCGCTGCAGCTAATGGGATTACTCGGTCTTGTTCTTTCACTGATGCAATTAAAACATGGAGGCAATTCGCACGCACTCGCTCACAAAGGCTGCTTAATTGAATGCGTCTTCTAAGTCGCAATTAACGCGCAATAAATTATGAGACTTCATAATAAACACCTTTAATGGAGTGATTTATGTGGTTCAGTTGGGTGGTTAAGTGGGAAAATGCTCAAAGCAATTTTAAAAAGTCTGATTGCAAGGGGGGGGAAAAATGGATAGTTTCATCTGCGCGCAGTGGAGAGTGGAGAGGCAGAGGGTCTAGAGTTTTATTTGGCAGCTCTGTGCAGGGATGGGGTGTTTTTTGTGTGTTGGGGGGAGGAGAGGGGGGGTAGTTTGAGTGTACCCCTCCCCTCCCCTCACTCTCTCTCCCCTCCTGTCCCCTCCTCTCTCCTCCTCCTGCTCCCCCGGCCGCTCTCAGACCATTGTTGTTGTGACTGCCGTCCGGAGAGCAGCGGAGTGCTGTAGGAGGGCTGGTGCACTGAGGACGCAGTCGCTCGCTCCTCTGTCTCTCTGTGCGGTTCAAGGGAAGCGGACTGACGAGTCTAGCTCTACATTTGAGCAGCAGAGCTCAGATCTTAACGGGATAAACTCACCGAGGAGAGGAGAAGTTGTAGAAGCGCTGCGTAAAGACGCACGTAGAGTTATCCAAGAAGGGACTCTGAACTACGGGGCACGTTGTTTTTTGTCACCCGTTTCTATCAGTCTCTTTTTCTCCCCAAATCGGATTCTTTTCAACATTTTCAGAACAGATTTTTTTTTTTTTTTTTTTACAACTTTCACACCAGCGAAATCCATTTTCCTCGTTCGCTGTTCGGTTTTAATTTCCCTCCATGGATTTAGCGCTGTGAGCGGCCGGCTGCAGTGGACTTTGCCCCCGAGGATCGCTGCTCCTTCTCCCCCGGTCACCAGGACAGCTGTCGTTCATGTTGCAGGGGGCTGTTTTTGATGGATTTATAAGGTCGACTTCGATTTCAGCAGGATACACGAACCCTGGAACCAGCTCACAGACTGCTTTTGGGGGAGGATACACCGGGGGTCTCCAAATGAGGATTTCAATATTCACCCAGATCGACAGGGACAAGGAGTGATTTCACCCCCCTAGTTGGTGCCAGTCATCGCTGCGAGGACAGACCGGGAGGAAAGGTGGGTGAAAACAGACTGAGACAGCTGGAGATTCTTGGAGAGTTGTTGTTTCATTCATTTTCAGCGCAGCGAGGCTCAGATTCCAACATGATATGTTACGAAAAGCCTCAAAAATCGCCTTTGCGCTGAGGTTGAACCCTTTTTTCATTCATTTTCAGCGATTTTCTAGAAAACAGACATTTCTGAAAACACAACAACTTACGTTAATTATTTTTTTCCACTGTTTTAACCTTCCAGATCTCATTATTTACACCGTAAACCAGCGATTTAATCCACATTTCAGCATTTTAGTCAGGAAACGGTTGTGTTTTGCAATGCATGGGGCCAAACAAGTCACTTCGTAGACATTGAACCCTCCACATGGACTATTTGTCAGGAGAAAAGAGTGTATGTGTTGCTCAAAGCGGAATTTGAACGCATTAAAAATGTTTAAAAGAGTGATTCGTTTCACTGATGTTTTACGCACATTAAGTTAAAAGAAAATGCACTATAAGAGAGAGATCAATAGATGTGATGTGGTTTATTGTTTGACAAACTGAAAGCAGAAATTAGGATCAAACATCTTATCTTAAAAAAAATCAATCTCCGGATGTGTCACACTTTCTGCTGACCTGATCGATTTCATTGATTGACGGTTGCCAGCACACGTGTAACGTTACAAGCGAGTGTAACGCAAACAGAAACAGCTCTCACTGGCTCCTGGCGGCTCCGAGCTTCATTATAACCTCCACGGGCTGTTTGAGTCTAATATTGCGTGGGACTGATTTATTAAGCGTGAATTATTTGACAGAAACGCGCAGTGACGCCCTTCCCTCCGTTTTTCAGCCCGAAAAAGTAGAATACAGTAGAAGTGTTTTGGCTCCAGCTGAACACGGCGGAGTGCAGCAGCCAGGCAGCGTGCCAGCGGAATTAGCAGCAGCAGGAGAAAAAAGTTTTCCAGTCCTTAATTGAGAAAGAATACGTTTCATTCAGTGAGCTGGTGCTTTAAACGGTGTGTGTGTGTGTGTGTGTGTGTGTGTGTGTGGGCGCGGCCTGCCTGCATGGAGCGCACGCACCAGGGTCTGGCGCCTGTGCGCAGTTGGCGCAGCTTTCAGCACAAGAATCAGTGTATTATTCCTTTAGCGTCCTTGTAGGCTGTCAAAGTTTATAGTTTGTCTGCAGAGTGAGTTTGTGGCGACAGGGTTGCACTAAAAAAATCTTAAATTAACCACAATATTAAAAGAGAGAGGGAGAGAGAGAGAATATCATGTTATAGATGCACATTTGTGGATGTTGTTCCTGTTTAAACTGGAACAGGTAAACTGCTTTTGATATTAAAAACAACATCTTAAGGTAAACATGCTTAAGTTAGAGCTGAAACTTTAGCCAGTTATTGGATTCATGCATCAACACAAATGATCCTGCCAATATTTTGAGTGATAGAGTCATTTTTTTTCCTAAAGTCAGATCCTAAATCCCAGTTTTAAATTCAAATTTGTGAAGATTTGCTGCTTTTCTGTAATACTGAGCTGAATAATTTGAAGTTCTCGACTAATAATCATATAAAAGAATACCTGAAAATAACCCCACCACATTTTATAGGTTAAAAAAGATAAATGAGTCAAGAAAACTTCAATTCAAGTGATCAAATATGAGCATCATTCATAATTCCTGTCCTAATTGACCAAAACCTAAGCTGTTGTGGCTGGCCCTGTTTCTCAAAGTGCATTTAAGCGTTCGGCTGATATCAAATGGTTTCTTAATGTGCATAAAAATGAGGAGATCTGGCACACGATGCTTGTTTTTTTCCCTCCTAGTCACGTATTTGACTGTTTTGCTGCCTGTTCTGCGTTTCCAACCTCCTCAACCTGAAGTCGCATCAGCAGCCAGTCGAGTCCCTGCGCTGCTCCTTCAGATTCTGTAGCTTCCTGGCAAGTTTAGAGTGTTTTCCTAGTAAGGGCCCATTATCCCGGGACAGACTGAGCACCATCCACTGACAAACAACAGGCAGCAGCAGCAGCAGCAGCAGCAGCCCTGGTGCTTATTCATGACGCAGGAGAGCCTGGACAGTGTAAGGCAGATGAACGGGACAGTTAGCAGGACATCTGGTTAAGAATACAGCTGCTCACAGTCAAACAGACTCTCTCTCTCTCTCTTTTTTTTTTATTTCGCTATTCGGACGAACAATTGTTTGTGTTTTTTGCCATCTGGCTTGAAAGTGAACAGAAAAGTTTGTGTCTTTAGCTGCTCCCCTCCTGCCAGATCTCCTTCAAGAATCGGGTTTCTGATCGACAGATAACCATCTGCCATGTGTTTGTTTGCCCCTGCAGGATCCAGATTTAGAGACTTTGTGGGTTTCGGAAGTCGCCAATGCCAGGGACCAGAGTGTGAGGCCCACTCCAGGCTTCTAAACTTGTAATTTTGCCCCTTTTCAACCACAAGACACACGCGCCACATCTAGAAGATGGTGAGGATCTGCATGTTCTGCGTTCTCCTGCTCGGTTTGGTGGACAGAGTCTCAGCCAGAGCCATTGAGGAGTTAAGAACTAAAGGTAAGACACCTGAAACTTCATTGTTTTCACACGGTTTCCTTCTTTGCTTGTGTTGGTTTGTGTTTGAATAAAGGGTGGACAAGCATTTGTGGATCCGAGGTTGCTGGTTTCTTCCATCACCTACATCGGAGCTGCTGGTGCAACACACAGAAAAAAGTGTGTTTTAGTGTCTAAGCACATTTTATTTGCATGTTTCTGCAAAGCTTTCAATCAGCCCACTTTCCCCTCTGAGAAAGATTAAGTTTCTTAGCAGCCAGGAGCCCAGAGAGGAAGTCAAGGTGACAGCAGAAATGAGACGAGGGTCTGTAGTCGAGGGAAGAAGTGAAGAAGTCGGAAGCTCTCAGTGTTTTTGCTGCCGTAAACTGCGCTACCTGATCCGACCGAGGCCCTGAGGCTCGGAAGTGTAAATCTGCCTGGCTGCGTGCCAGCTGTGGAGGATGAGGAGGGGCTGCTTCATTGATGCTTTACAAACAGACGCCAATACAATAAGGCAGCCACTGTTGGTTTAAAGTTCTATTAGAATGTTTCTAATGAGCTAAGGCACAATAATCCGTCCCATTGTTCTGTACAGTCTTCCAAAGCAGAACTTGTGAGCTGGAGCTTCTTCACTGTCGTCGTGTAAATCAGCTCTTAAGTCAGATTAAAGGACTTCAGGATGACATTTTTGTGAGGATGTGTGGAGATTGATGAAAGACAAAGTGGCTTGCTGCCCCGGAGGCGTCGAGTCTTTTCCATCTTTGTGGCCCCACTTTGTACTTCGGGGCCATCGAGGCCAGCCGGGGCTTGTTGTTCAGACGAAGGGGGCTCCGAGAAAAGCTCTCAGATTTATTTACAAGACGGGAAAGTAAAGAGTCAAACCAAGACTGAAAACAGAAGGATTTTCTGGTTGTATAACATGCACGATATACACTTCTTGGAGTGATCTCTGTTAGAAAAAAAAGCTGTGATTTTGCTTTGATTACTGAATTGTAGGATGGTTTGATCCCCGGGTCTCTCAGATCTGTTCAGAAGGAACCTTTTTCTAGATAAAAGTAAACATGTCACGACAAAGAATGATCACAGTGACTGACAGGAGGCAGAGACAAAGTTAGAACAGACTCCAACCTCTCTGAAGATGACTCCAGCTGAACAGAGGTTAGGAAGGTCAGAGGGACCCACAATGCACCCTTGCTGGCTCCTGACAGGGAGACTTTATCCAGAATTTACTCTGCAGGGACACGCTGCAGAGAAAAGACCAAAGAAAATAGTTCAAACTTAGGCCGAAGAGGAAAGACATTTCCTGCACAGACTGGTTTGTTTGACTAAAATGTACTTTTAAAAGCTTTTATTAATCTCCTTAAATAATTCTGTGTTTTTTTCTGTCATGTTGCTAATTTCATAGCAGCTCTGAGTGCAAATAAATCACAGCACACTTCAAATATAAGTAGATAGCTAATGTTACTCTGCAAAGGCTAAATGCAGGAATCTGAATTCCCACAGACAAACTTAGGTTCAGCCCAGTTATACAAAAAGTCTAAGTACAGCTTTTGTACATTAAATCCTTCAGCTCTTTGTCTCTAAAATGCAAACTTAAAGAACTATTATACACTGATGATGCCAGAGTTTAGGATAGTTTCTAAATCCCTGCCTGAGCGAACTCTGTTTCACTGAAATATAAAATGGAGAACATAGATGTGTAGCAGCAGCTTTTGGAAACATTAAAAAGAAAAAAAGAAGGCTTTGTTTTAGTCTCTGCGCAGAGTAAATCTGGCTTCATGATTCCTGTGGTGAGCCTTGCTAACATGCGTGTGCGCCCCCAAACCTCCACAGTTATGTAATTACAACTGGCCCGCTGTGCAGCTGCCTCACATGATGATTTGTTTGTAACTCTGGTTGATTTTGAGTCGTTCTGCAGCTTTCTGTGAATACAACTGAGCCGGTATAAAGTGCACATTGCAGGGATCTGCTGCTGCTGTGGGTTTCTGCGTCGGTACATGAAGGCCTCCTCATTGTCCCAACTGATCTCCACAGAGGCTCTGCTGCTGCCAGCCCCGCCGGCCGGCTGGCTGACTGGCTGGCTTGCACCACCCGAGCGGTTTGTTTGTGTTGTGTTGTGTTTTGTTTGCCCCCTCGCCTCTGGGTGACAATTCACACTCTGCCTCGAGTTCAACTCCGGGGCACCGTCCCTGTCTCTGCAAGTTCATTAGCATGGCTGCAGAGTGCGGTTCGTCTCTGTGATTCACAGCTAACTGTTGGTTTAACTGCGCTCAAGTTTGCTCCATCAAATGAGAATGCTGTTAATATTTTGGACTAAATGTTGAGCGTGTTTGCATTAACACAAACCACCGAGATGTTCCATTTAATTTGTTTTCCTTTTGGCCGCTCTGGCCCGATCACTATTTCTGATTTTCCACTTACAAGGTTGTGAGCGTGGATTTGCTGCTGAAAGCATTACCTGCATGTACTCTGGGTGATTAGAAAAAAAGGCAGCACTTCACTCCAACAAGGGAACAGATTGCCTTTTCACTAAGCGCTCGCAGGAAGCAATCAGACAGAAAATTGCCCTGGAAAATTGCTCGTTCTGAGTGACTGAGCAGTGAGCAAGGTCCTTGGCCAGGGCGCACATATGCTCCAACAAGTGAGTGGGCGAGTGCATAAATGGGCAAGTGACCCACTGAATGGATGGCACTGTGGCTGATGGTGACACCATAGTAGCTGGGTTATCAGGGCACTCTATCACCAGTTCCTGGTAGCATTAAATGTCAGTTGTTTAGGAACATGGTGCACTCCTGTTGCTAGATCTGTAAGCGGTAAACTGAAACCACCAGGATGTGTTTTGACAATTTTTGTCTTGTTCACTCGGGCGCATTGAGAGCATGATGGTTTGTAGCAATTTATTCTTAGACTGTAGGCGCCTTTATTCAGTGGAAAAGCTGCACTGTGGCACCTGAAATCTGGTTTGTTTAAACCCAGTGTTGAGTTAGTTAGTGAACAGTCCCTTTTTTTAAAAAGTCAAATCTCAATTTAAGATTCACAACAAGATTACATTCATTCTCGACATCAAAATTTATGTTTCATCTTCTGCCTTTCTCTTTAGATCTTCGGGTCTCCAGGCCTCTGATCGTGCCGGGTTACCCAGAAAACACCACGGCGGTGGTGGGTGGTCAGGCGAAGCTGGTGTGTAAAGTCCACAGGCCGGCGTCCACCAAGGTGCAGTGGCTGAAGACCGAGTCTGGAGGTCCAGGACGGAGTCAGGGAGGAGCGCCCCGCCTCAGGCCTCTGACGGTGAGATAACAGATCCGTAGACAGACATCGACACAACACTGCTTTTTAATTCTGTTCCCGTCATGTTAAAGAGACGCTAAAATAATCGGTCCTCTGTGCAGGCCCTGCAGAGCAACGGGTCCAAGGTGAACACTCTCCATCTGTCCAACATCACTTTGGAGGATGCCGGCGAGTACATCTGTATGGCCGAAAGCAGCCACGCGGGACAGACAGTGCAGGCCATGCAGTCAGCGTGGCTGGAGGTCCTCCCTGGTGAGACACACATATCATGTCAGTTTTCTTGTCTTTCTGATAGAGTTTATTAAACGTCATCCAAAGTTCGGCATAAAGAAGAAAAATCAAAGCTTTGTTGGACTTTGAGTTCACTACAATTAACTGTCTGAACCTCACAACTTGGCTGGTTTGAAAAGGAAACTTTCTGAATTACACCATTTATTAGATCCAGAAACCAGAAAGAGCCATTCTTAGTTCTTGAACTAAGATGTGTGGTTCTGTCAGGAAAATCAACAAAGTCTGTGCTTAAATATTTGTCAAAAATGAACCAATTGCTCCAATCAGATTCTGTAAAAAACAAAAAACACATGTTTCTCAACCTAACAAAGAACTCATAAGTGATAAACAGTTATGTGAGAAAAAATCAGAGACCTTTTGGCTTTTTGGAAGTTTACACAGAACAGATAGGAGATAAATATAGAAACAAGTTAAAGATTGACAGCAAAATAAAATACATAATCAATGAAATAAATGCAGCATGGTTCAAAAATGGTGACCAGAAGAGCAAAACTCTCAACAATTAGTTGGAAGATAGATTCTGCACAGTGAAATATCTTAGTTAATGTCTAGTTTGTAAAGGTAAAAGGTAAAGCATCTACAGTTTGGGGGCCACCATAAGTAAAAAATCAAGAAATTCTTTTTTTCTTCTTCTTTTTCTCTTATCGATGGCAATTAAACATACATACAAGTGCAGGAATTTATATTGCAGTGAAAAATGAGTCCACAATGAGTAAAAATGTGACAGGAGGAAGAAGCATATGGGCCAAAAGCTGCTTGGGGTTTATAGGGTAAAACATCTATTGACAGTTTGTTCATAATTTAGTATTGCTTTTTTTTAAACTACAATTTCTCCTTTTTACAGGTACCATCATTTCCCAAACGGTGGACCTGACTGCTGCGGAAATGCCCTCAGGTAACTCCACAGTCATAAAATGCTTAAGTTGCTCATAATTTTAGGTCACTAAAGTGCTGACATTTGCACTCTTTCTCATTAACTAAAATAACTGAGAAAATAATGAAGATGCAGGAGCCAGAGCGCTGTTTGTTTAAGCTGAGTCTATTTGGGTGTCTGTGATGTAAAAAGATTAAAAGCTGCTCGTGGTATGGTGGCCATCTGTGTGGGCTCCAAACTCGACATCCTCCTCCGCAGGCTGGAAAAAAAAAAAATCTCCTCCCCTCGCTCACTTAGATCTCCAGTGAACCTTCACCACCCCTTAGATTTACTCTCCGTCCACTGTCAGGTCGCAACATGTTCATTAGCCTCAGTCACTCTTCCTGCCTGCTCCTTTTCTTCCCTTCTTTTTTTGGAGGGAGACAGTGTTAGCTAGATCACTCTCAGTCCCACAATAATCCACAGAGGAACAAAAAGATGAAGAGGAGAAGGAGGGCGAGTGGAGGAGGGTTGGGTCAGTAGGGCCTTCTGGTCTCCATGGTGATTCCATTGTGTTTGTGTGTATGCTGGGATGGGAGATAATGTGGTCGAGGAGTTGAAGGTCATAGTTGACTGCTGGGCGACTGGGCAGCTCGGTATGGTGACGTGTAAAACCACGGAGAAGCTGAGAAACAGCAAGAAACAAGGATATAATAAATGTACACCGCATCGTTCTGACACCTTGTCTGCTTTGAACAGATGTTCTTGAGGACCTGAATGAGGACACCACCGAGCATCTTCTGTTGGAGCCAGGAAACGTCCTGAAGCTGCGCTGTGACATGAGCAGCCGGCCCGGCATGGCGGTGAACTGGTACAAGGAGGGAGTCCGGGTTCTGCCGACACCTCGCATCCAGATGCGCGGCGCCATCGTGGAGATCACGGACGTAACATACGAGGATTCCGGCGTCTATGTTTGCATTCTCCGAGGAACCAAAGAGCCTGTGAGGAACTTCACCATCACTGTGGCAGGTACGAACACAAACACTGTTTCTGGGGCATTTTTTGCTCCTGTGACACAAAATACAGTCCTGCATCGTCATGGAAACAGCAAACGTTGATAAAGCCTGAAATCAACATGTACAAAATTTGCACTTACAGGTGACATAAAAAATTCTGACTTTACATTTATAGATATCTTATTGCTTACATACACAGCCTGCAGCTAAACCCAGTTCAATCAAAACGTCCTTGATTTTTTTGTCACGACTGTTGAACCTGAGTCACCAGTGGCTTCTCGATTGTCTTAATTTAGCAAAATCCGATTAGAGTGAACTCTTTATTTTTGGCAAATTTTTGATTAAAACATGTAAATCAAAGTAATTTGCATGAAATATCACAATATAAGCTTAGATTTGGTTAAGCTGATTGATCATTGGTTCATGGACTATCGGACAGTTCAAATGTCAGACACTTTTCTGTTTTTAAAGTTTCTGACTCTCAAAAATTATTGAATTTTTAAAGATTTTTTTAAAGATGCCTTTCAAACTCACCAATGAATTTTGGAGTTTAGGGGGTTAACATATGTATTTTATGAAACAGCTCATGTTGGAGTTCAAGTTTTATGATTTTAACATCAGAGAAAAGTACTAAATATCAGAGTGATGCTGTTGAAAATTGTTTTTGTTGGTCTTTACATTGTCTTTTTGTTCCCTGTTCTCAGACTCATTAGGATCCGGAGACGATGACGAAGACAACGGCTTGGAGGACTCATCGACTGAGATCGAAAATGACCAAGTTTACTTCTCCAGAGGTGTGCTGGTTGTTTGCTTTCTACTTGCAATCTTTGAGAAGTCGATGCGAGTCAAACTCCAGATTTCATCCGAGACTAACAGCTCATTGGCTGGTCTTTGTCTACACAGGCCCTTACTGGACGCACACCCAGCGAATGGAGAAGAAGCTGTACGCTGTTCCTGCAGGCAACACGGTGAAATTTCGCTGCCCGGCGATGGGCAGCCCTATGCCAACCATCCGCTGGCTCAAAAACGGACGTGAATTTAGAGGAGAGCATCGTATTGGGGGCATCAAGGTGAGGACAGCTGTGGTTTCTCATCTCCTTTTGTCACTTCCTTTTCTTTGCTCTCCTGATGTTTGAGTGTTTGTCCATGCTGATATTATTTTGTGTTCCTGTGATTAGCTGAGACACCAACACTGGAGCCTGGTGATGGAGAGCGTCGTGCCCTCAGACAGAGGAAACTACACCTGTGTGGTGGAGAACAAATATGGCTCCATCGCTCACAGCTACGTCCTCGATGTCCTGGGTAAGACACAAAATATAACTTGTAAATAAACTACAAAAAACACTGCAGGTGTTCAGAGCAGCAAAGTAAGAAGTTACATGTCATAAATGTGGGCATCAGCAAGACAGAAATGGTCTTTAAACCAAAACTGCACTGCTTTTTGATCTGGCCGCGGCAGTCAGAGCACCATTAGTCTGCACTTGTTGAAAAAGCAAAATAAAAGCCTCCGGTCTGAGGGAGGGATAACTGAGGGGGTGAGCAGAAGGTGATGGGGAGCCTGGTGTCGGCGTCAGCGGGCAGGAAGTGGACGGTCAGGCGTCTGCTCCAGTTTTCTACCTGACCTGTGACAAGCGATCGAGGAGGGCTGCGGTTTGTTTGTTCATTTGTTCGCTGTCTGTCCACTGCGGGGTCAGTTTCCGTCCCCGATGACGCAGGGAGAAGACTAACGAGACAACTAACGAGATCAGAGAGCGAGAGTAACCACAGATCAAAGAGAGCAGCCACAAAGAGGCATGCTAATGGAACCTATTTTCATCCCAAAATGACATTTCCTGGTCTTTTGCCAGCATAGAAACACATTAAAGGTGACAGAGGCAATTGCTGGCCACTAGTTTACAAAGCAGTCATGTGTGTCAGATGTTAAATATCTTAAATATCTGTACGTTTTCAGTCATCGCGTGATTCCTGTTATGAGGAGTGCTCTCTGAGACTATGTCAGAGTTAAACCATCGGAAAGGTTAAAGTTAAACCTCTGTCTCCGTGTCCCTGCATCACCTTTTAACCGTTGTCCTGAGAAGAGTGACATCCTCCAAGCTCTGTCTGGTTTCTCTGGAATTTAAAGCAGTGCCCACTTTGCTCATGTCGTCTGTAATTTCTTCCCGTTGCAGAGCGATCGCCCCACAGGCCGATCCTGCAGGCCGGTCTGCCCGCCAACACCACAGCAGTGGTGGGCAGCGATGTCCAGTTCCACTGTAAAGTGTACAGCGACGCTCAGCCTCACATCCAGTGGCTGAAGCACATCCAGAGGAACGGCAGTCGCTACGGTCCTGATGGGACTCCATACGTTCAGGTCCTCAAGGTTGGTAACAGATGTATTGATCAGAAACATGATGTCTTATCCTCTTCTCATTGCCAGATCCTGCTCAGGCAACTTAAGAACCCAGTCATGTCGAGTTTTAGAAGTTTAATTCCATAGTTTTATAGCTAAATAAAAAAGAAAGTTACGGCACCGCTTTAGCTCACATGGTTGAGCTGGCGTCCAATGTATAGGCTCTACAGTCCCCAATGCAGCAGTCATGAGTTCGAGACCCACTCATGACACTTTGCTGCAGGTCCTTCCCCCATTCTTCTCCCCCCACTTTCCTGCCTCTCTCTCTGTCCTATCTAATAAAGCCCAAAAATATCTTTAGATAAATAAAGTTACATTTTTTTAATGTAGCACCTTTTCCCCCTATAAATTGACATTTTTTGGCTTTTGAAGTCACAGGTTTTCATGTTGTTCTAATTAGAAATAAATGTATGTTTTTGCTTTTGTTGTTGCTATTTTTGCGTATAGCAAAAATGTGGAAAAAATCTGTCCAATAAAAAGTAAAGATTCCTTAAATTTTTTGTTTATTTATTGTCTTTTTTTTTTTTTTAAATTTTATGTTGTGCAGACGGGAAGCCTGAACATGTCAGAGGTGGAGGTGCTCTACCTGTCCAAAGTTACAATGGAGGATGCAGGAGAATACACCTGTCTGGCTGGAAACTCTATCGGCTTTGCTCACCAGTCTGCCTGGCTCACCGTGATTTCAGGTAAAGGAGCTGGAGGCTGCATGACTGTGCTTAAAATAATTTACCTAACTGGTCGAAAGATTTTTACGTCTTCTAAAGTGTACGCATTATCTTCTCCCACTGGTCACTGAGATCTTGTGGTATTTATTTGTCACTACATGGATTCAAGAATTTTTGGGGAAAATCTTAAAATCTATGCCCCTGTTCTTGCAGAGGAGGAAGCAGCAGACAGCATGGACACCATGGAGACTAAATACACTGACATCATCATCTACGCCTGTGGATTCCTGGCTTTGATCATGGCCATCGTCATCGTGGTGTTGTGTCGGATGCAGGTTCATCCGAGGAGGGAGCCGTTCGACGCCCTACCTGTGCAAAAGCTTTCCAAGTTTCCTTTGCGTAGACAGGTACGTCAGGTAGAGACCACACTACAGTCTGTTTGAATTATTCAGCAACAAGGCTCCTCGCTAATTTCTCATTTTCTCTTCTTTCAGTACTCGGTGGAATCCAACTCGTCAGGGAAGTCCAGTGCGTCTCTAATGAGAGTCGCTCGCCTCTCGTCCAGCTGCTCTCCGATGTTGGCTGGAGTCATGGAGTTTGAGCTTCCCTACGACCCGGACTGGGAGTTTCCTAGAGAGAAGTAAGTCATCTGCATGGTAGAATCACTTCTGTCGACATTTACAAAGATGTAGATAATATTCTGAAACGACTCATACAGTTAATATTGCAATAAGACGGGCTAGTTTTGAAATGGTGAGCCTCAGTAACACTGAAAACTGCTGCCCCTTGCAGAGAGAGTATTTCTTCACTAAGTTTAGTTTGGCAGCTGGGATCCGGACCTGTTTAAACACTGTAGCTTTCGCATCATGTGGGGACCTAAAAAGGAAACAAGCCCGCAACCCATTTTTGGCTCCATCCAACCTATGGTTTAAGAAAACCAGAGCCCCAAATTATGGATTTGTACAGTTTTCATTTAGACATACTTATTTTCACTAACTCCCGCTTGTTCTCTGTCTGTAGTTTAACGTTGGGCAAACCTCTTGGAGAGGGCTGCTTCGGTCAGGTGGTCCGAGCCGAAGCTTACGGCATCAACAAGGACTCTCCTGAACAGGCCACCACCGTGGCTGTCAAGATGCTCAAAGGTGGGAGAGAAAAGATGCAAGAAACTACCTCATGACGTCTGCTGATTCTGTGAAGATGTCTAAACAAACAACACTTTTCCCCCCAGATGATGCCACAGACAAAGATCTGGCCGACCTGATCTCTGAGATGGAGCTGATGAAGGTGATGGACAAACACAAGAACATCATCAACCTGCTGGGAGTCTGCACACAGGATGGTGAGTATGGTTTCACAAACACCTTTTTTGGCCAGAAAACAATGAAGAAACTGTTTCATCTGTGGGGGTTCCCAAACCTTGAGGCTAAAGTAACAACAGGAAAAGCTCCGTCCTTCATCCTCTTTGTGTTTCCTCCCCTCCAGGTCCTCTGTATGTGCTGGTGGAATACGCATCCAAAGGCAGTCTGAGGGAGTACCTGCGTGCCCGGCGACCTCCAGGCATGGATTACACCTTTGATGTGACCAAGGTGCCCGAGGAGCAGCTCACCTTCAAAGACCTGCTGTCCTGCGCCTACCAGGTGGCCCGAGGGATGGAGTACCTGGCCTCCAAGAGGGTACGTTCGCTTTAAAGAGTGGAAACAGTTTCCGGGAAGAGGCTGTAAATCTTCCCTGCGAGCATTTCGTGGGTGCAAGAGAGTTTTTCAGTGTGATGATGTGGCTCATTTAGTTTCGTGTTGGCGGTTTAGTGATACATTTTGGGAAATTTGTGAGTCGATTAACAAAAAAAAGCACTTGAAGATTTGAGCTTTGAGATTCTACTCAGTGAGGATATTTACACATCAAACATTCCTGAAGTGCAGCCATGAAATGAAAGCAGGATAGTAACACATTTGTGAACTTCTGGCTGTAATCTAAGAAGTCTGGCTTTGACTGAGAGGGAAGTGTGATTAGGGTTGAGTTCCGTCTCATAAATCATTACATTCGGGCACTTGGCCTTCAGATTGATTAGTCTGGTCCCGACTGTGGATGGCAACACCAGCTGTTCCTCCCCTCTTTCTCTATCCTCTGTCTGTCCCTTTCTTTTTCTGTTCTCCGCTCCCCCACCCCCATGTTTCTATTCCTTTCATTTTCCCAGCATGCATTCTGTTTGTGTGCTTCTTATCAACACGTCTCTTTGTCTGCCAGCCGGTGTCTCAGACAGGCATTCCTGAGCAGAAAGCTGCTGCAGCTTCAGCCCTGTTTACTCTCCTCCATCCATCTGTCCGTCCCTTCGTCGCAGGGCTTTGTCCTTTTTAGCGCTGCCATAAATCTGTTTGCAAACAGGCAGCAGAGCCATCGTCTGGGTGTAGGCATCAGGTTTCTGGCTCTACGGCCTCCTAAGAATGCAGGAGCCTGAAACTAACCCTCCATTATGGGGAGACCCGCAAACCAAGAATGGTTCATTTCGCACGTCCCCACAAATCCCACGTCTATTTCGAATGAAAACCAAAATAAACTTAATGACATCCATTCAATGTGGGCAAACAGTGCTTTCTTTTTTCCTCCCAAAGGGTTGTTTTTTTTTCACTTTAAACTCCAGGATTTCTATATAAAGACATTATATTTTTGTGGAGTTCACTAAAATGAGGCAGTGTGTGTGTTCATTTTAGACTCCTGAGTCTTTTCATTTTTGGAGAAAAGCTGCAGTGAATCATTTCAACCTCCCCTACCTCTGTGTTTTTACACGATCCCTCCAAACCACAGCCTGGATCACACAGGGACATGTCGTGTCACAAGCCTAAACTCAAAAGAGCACTTCATGCGTATAAAAACTTGGACAATAAAATTTTAGTTTAACCTTCTTGCTAAATGCATGCTTCTGCAAACGGGGGAACAGGGTCAAAAACAACATAGAAATGAAAAGAAAGAGGCAACTTATTCCACAAAAAACAATTCTTTCAGCAAATTCCTCATTAAATCTCTGAAACTAAAAACTAAATAAACCTCTCTAATCTGGAGACCCGGCAGCTCGTGTTGGTTTTCTGTCAGCCTTTAATTCACTCTGTGCTCTTTTTGCAGTGCATCCACAGAGATCTGGCAGCCAGGAACGTTCTGGTGACGGAGGACAACGTGATGAAGATCGCTGACTTCGGCCTGGCCAGAGGAGTTCACCAGATCGACTACTACAAGAAAACCACCAACGTGAGTAGTGGTTTCTAGCAGCATATTTTCATGAATTCATTCCTGTAACTTTCCTGTGGAGCTACATTCCTGCTCTACCTTTAATTTTCTACTGTTGAGATGTTCAACATTCTAATCTTATGGCACATTTGATCCAATATCATCAGTTTTAGATCCCGTAAACTCTTATCTCACACTGACCTCTGACCCCTCAAGGATAATTTCATGTTAATTTTATTGCATATATGAATTCTTGAATGGTCTGAAAGGAAATGGTTGTTTGCAAAAAAACCCACCTCACTAATGTTGCCTATAAACATATCTGCCGCTCAGCCGGTCTCCTCCTTCCTGGCTCCTTTCACAGCTTTTAAAACTTCTCAAGACAGATGTCTGATGTTTTCCTCTGATTGGCAGCAGGCTTAATGGGACTTAATTAGAAAAGAGGGGATGAGGAGGGAGGAAGGGGGGAGGATCATGAGGGAGAAATGTGAGGGCGCAGAGAGAGAGACGGAGGGTGAGAATTTGGTATAAAAATTCTTCAGTTTCCGTGTGGAGCTCTTCTAAACGTGTCCGTGTTCACTCCGCAGGGTCGGCTGCCGGTGAAGTGGATGGCACCTGAAGCCTTGTTTGACAGAGTCTACACACACCAGAGTGACGTGTAAGTTCAGCTTCTCATACATAAAGTCTCTGCTGTAGCAAAATATAAGGTGCTTTATACTAAAGAACTCCCCAAAAGTGTCACTTCTGCCTCTTTTCACATCTTGTTAAACCTGTGAAGATCTCATGTAACTGTACCCCTGGAAACCTTTCTGTAATTTCTGCTTCTCTGCTAACATCGTCACACGCCACCTTATTCCAAAGAAAACCAGTGCAAAACCTTAATAGCCACTCCTTCGTGTCTCCTTGCTGGGTTTAGGTGGTCGTTCGGTGTGCTGATGTGGGAGATTTTCACGTTGGGTGGTTCGCCGTATCCTGGCATCCCCGTTGAGGAACTTTTCAAGCTGCTGAAGGAAGGACATCGCATGGATAAACCCTCCAACTGCACACATGAACTGTAAGCAGGAGCTCTTCTCTTTCATTCTCCCCTGTTTGCAGCCATTCCCATCAATGCTGCGTTCCATTACAGAATGTAGTATTTTATATAGAACAGAATAGAACTTTATTGATCCCTTTGGTGCAAACTTCAGGGAAATTGTTGATATCTCATTATATCTCTAAAAAAAACTAACTTTACTCATCTTTTCCCAAGCCAACAGTCAAACATTTGTCCTATTGTATAATATGGAAATTCCTGAAGTAATTTTGTGTTTTTCTTCTCCGTAGCTACATGATGATGCGTGAGTGCTGGCATGCCGTTCCCACCCAGAGGCCAACCTTCAAGCAGCTGGTGGAGGAGCTGGACCGAGTGCTGCTGTCCATCTCTGACGAGGTGGGCTTTAAAACACAAATAGTCACATGCACAAACATGCTAACGTATGCAGCTATGAGGATGTTGCGCACACATTTTCATAGACAATCTGCTGGCCAGATGTCCTCTGCGCTTAGACTGAGCTGATTCCTGAGCTCACAAACTCCCAAGCAGCAAAATCAGACTGCTTGCATGCAGAGTCTGTTTTGTACAGATGGGTCAACAGTGATTAAAATGCGGAAATGTAAAGGCTAACAGTCTTTAAATCAACCAGTCTAAATATATTTGTCTACACTGACCCGGTGGTCTGAATCGGTGATGGCAGCGATTCTCCACATCTGCATCTCTTCTAGTGTGGACGGCATTAAAAGAACAGCATGTTCAATAGCAGCCCTTTGAGAAGAGGCCAAATTCAATTTTCACTGCTTTTTACTGCCAATTTTACAAACATTTAAATGTGGATCAGTTTCCTCTTGTTGCAAAATGTCTCCGCGGATGCTCCAGTCAGCATCTCTCTCATTTCTGAACTTCCTCTCCCCCTCAGTACTTGGACCTGTCGACACCTTTCGAGCAGTACTCCCCGTCATGTGAGGACACGTCCAGCTCCTGCTCTTCCGACAACGACTCTGTTTTTACCCATGACGCATTGTCCACCGACCCCTGCCTGCTGGGCTACCAGGACGTTCGCTCCCGGATAGACATGAAGGCGGCTCTCCGATAGACACACAAACACTAGAGTGGAAACCCGCTACCTTGGACTGTAACACATCCGCTGGCGGTCGCGCTGAAGGTCCGACGCCGCAAGGTTAAGTTAAAGATTTTATGCTCATGATGTTTTCGTTGGACCTCCATTACGGCCCCAGTCAAAGCCCTTAGAAATAGATAGGCATTTATACACACACATACACAGATGCATACACAAAGCACTGAGGCCAGTGGGCTTCATCACACGGTGGAGGTTTGAAGAAAAGAAACACTTCATCGTGAGCAGAAGATAAAAGGACAAACTGAACATGGTACTTCGGGTGATCGGCTCTGACGCCGTGCTCGAGAACGGCTGAAACGTTGGAAAAACTGTGGCACGAAACTCAGCAGAAGAGACCCTGGTACTCGAAACGCCTTGAAGTGCTTTCTTTGATCGACGGACAATGATCTCCTACCACAAAACCCGAAACCGGGGCTTGAAACCTCAAAAAGACATTTTAACAGAAACAAACAAACAAACAAAAAAAAGATTTATTTTGCTATGATAAAAAAATAAGAAACTGATTGTTAAATATAAATCTCTCTATATAAGATTATTTTACTTTTGTGTTGCTTATTTAAAAAAAGAAAACAGTCTTAAATCTCAGGATCTCTCATGCTAAGAAGTTGCTGTAGTGGCAGCAAAGTGCCTGAACTGATGATTTCCTGTGAATATATTAGAATATTAAAATATTGTATGTACATATCAACAGCAGAAAGAAAGACGATTTCCTTTTATAAATTATTCTGAATGACACAAAAATGAAGGTTACTGGAGGCAAACGGAGAGAGGAATTTAATCAAGTGCCAAACCTCTTACAGCTGTCACACTGTCTTCATGTTCAGGTTTCTTTCCAAAATAACTCATTTGTGCCCAATAATCTACACTGGTATCCCAAATTAGAGTCAAACCCAAATCACTGCAGTAGCTGATGAAGAAACACACATTTTCCCACCAACAATTCCAACAATTTAATTATTTGTGTCTAGAAAAATTACCGATTACGCCTTTAAACGTGGCTTAAACTTGGGACATTTTTGGAATGAAACCCTCCATTTGTTGTTTAGTTCCAAGAAATCCGTTTATTGTTAAATACCACAGGGAGCCCAGTTATTGTTGTTGTTGTTGGACGGAGACCACAGAAGTTTTGTCGATCGAGCTGTAACGCATTACAAAACGAGTTTTGATCAGGTCTCAAAGCCTGTCAGGTTACGAGGCGGACTTGTTTACTCGTAAAAGGAACCAATGCAACATTTCGTGGTCCTCCAAGTCTTTGTCAGGGACAGTGTGTCCAGGGTGGGACTCGACGTAGCAGGAGGACTCTGTGGGGAGCTGGCCCAAGCCCACTGTCACTGCTGACAAGGAGAGGAAGGCCGGGAGGAGAGGGGAGGAGGGGGGACACTGAATGTGAAAGCCTGTGTGATTGATTTCAAATAGAGGAGGAGGGGGAGGGACCCTCCTTTGTCTGGCTGTAACCCTTCACCCAGCCCAATCTGTTGGCGAGGGGTCCTCAGGTCCGCAGCCTGGCCGGACAATGAAAGCTTTGCAGGCTTAATGGGTGTGACTACGGACCAGAGGGAGTTTTGGGGGTGGTGGTGTGGGTATAGCTTGGGCTTGTGTGCAAATGAAGAGGCTCTTATTATGGTAATGGCTCCTCTTCTCTCCCAAACGTCCCTATCTTTATCCCCACGGCCACCATCTTTTAAATTACAAATCTTAATTCAGATTCGCCGCTGCCACCAGCACCAGCTGTAGGCAATTCCCCTGTGGGGTGAAATGCCAACTGAGTCCTAGTCTGCCTCCTGAATCTGACCAACAATTGAGACACAAACAAAACAACCGTTGACAGTTGTGTGGAAAGAGATCAATCTGTATGATTGGCGAATTTCTTTCTGTGGAACTCTGATCCATCAGCAAAATCTGCATCACCAGCACTAAGAAAAATGGAGGGTTTCATTCCAGAATGTTTTAAATTCATCCACCAGTTGTGTTTGTAAACCACCATCACGTCTGTTCACCTCATTTGTTTTCCCTCGTCGGTCATCTTTCTCATTTAGGACTGATGCTCTTCTACATTTACATCCACAAAGTGTCCAAACACACGAGCATTTTTACATTCCAGTTATCTGCTCTTCTCCCAGATACCAATTGTAAACAATCACAACGTTCTTAAGCATTTCCTCAAGAGAATTATTTTAGAAATATCTAATTTATTTGTTTATTGTTTTGTTTTTATATGAAATAAAGTATAATTTAAAATAAAGCAGCTCCCTGTCCTCGTCTGTGTTGTTCAATCCATCTGACTCCACGTGGAAACCAAAAATATCCTGTTTCTGAGCAAATTGTTGTTGTTTGTTTTAGTTAATATTGATTTCTTTTAAAACCAACAAACCCAGAAATGCTAAATCCACAGCGAGCAGTTCTTGGCTCCTCAGCTGTTTTCAGTGAATAATTAACAGACGGAGGAGGTTCGTCAGTTCATCTGGTTTACCTGTGATCTCAGTTTATAAAGATGACCCAACCACTTGCTGCTGGTCTTGCCCGTCAGCTTGCATCTATTCTGGACCAGCCTGTTTTGCACCTCATCAGCAACACAAACCCTTCACACTCATTCCTGATGCAGCAGGTCCTCACATCTCTTTGTGGCAATAACTTCAGTCTTAATAAGTTAAAGTAGAAGCCTCCTCGATGTGACAAACTGGGTCTCACACATGATATTTGTGGTGTAGCTTGACCAATTTAATCCCATTACCCTGCAGCTTTTTCATTGGTATGTTTGCCATTTGCATTTCACATTGTGTTTTGCAGGCATTAACCAATGTCTTAGTTCTTTTATTAAAACCTTAGTGGCAGAGGATGCAAGGAAGCTTTTGTTTGGTACCAGAGATTTAAGCAACACACTTTTACATGTGATTAATCAATATGAATGCAGAGTATTCTGATATCATCAGAAGAATCATTTAAGAAGAAAATACATACATTTTCACCCACCTTTTATTCGCATTTTCAACAGAAATTTGAAAAAAAGCGTTGATGCATTGCTGAGGTGGGAAGGTTTAAGATGAAAAAGAAAACACAACACTTGCTGGACTTGAAACATAAAACTTATTTTCGAGTTTTTGCACCACTGAAGAGACAAACAATAGCAGATGAAAATAAATATGTGTGGACTGCAACGTTCATCAGATTGCTTTCCTCAAACTTAATTTCTTTGATGATTTTCACACTGTATTATATCACTTGAGCTTTAACTCTTCTTCTGCAGTGGCATAATGATGCAGGATTGAAATATTAGTACCTACTCTTTATCTCCAACTTAGTACTAATTAGTATTGCACAATAATTTTCATTTTCTCTTTGCACTTGGTTAAATTTTGTGCAACATTTGGATGCAGAACCTTAGTACATGTGTTGGGAGATTCCAGAAAGTCACCAGTTTTCAGTTGTCTTTTGGTTCTGATGGAAACAATACTTGTTATTGAAGTACTTTTTGACCTGTTGGACTTTTGTTTAATGACGTCACCATGTTCCCAAATCTCAGAACTAAACATTGTGGGTAAAATGTCATCATGAACGATGTAAACTGGGACCACATCTATGAAAATAAGAACCTAGTTACATGAAACTCCAACAAAACATTTTTGTGCAGCTCCTGAAAGGGGAAAAAATTGTTTCTGCTTTTGTGTGTTTGCACCAAAGACAAAGTTGAAATTTTAGCAATTTAAAAGCAAAAATTAAATAGAGACCAATTTACAGACAATAAGGGAAAACGAAAATCAAACTACACGACGAGACAGGAAAAAGAGAGAGAAAGAAACAAATGTGAGAAAGATGAAAGACAGAGACGAGAGCAGAGACGGCGAGACGGAAGAATGAAGAGATGGAGGTCGAAGGTCAAGAGGAGGGAGGAGAGTTCAGCGGTGATCCCAGCCAGCCCTGCTGTTTGAAGTGTGTGTCTGCGTGAACATGATTATGTGTCAGTGTGTGCGTTATCTCCCGTGTACATGGTGTGTGGTCTCTACATGCATGTAAGCATGTTTGTGTGTCTTATCTCCCACGTACAATAAATCTCGGTCACCCACTGAGGCCCTCTCGCTCTCTGAGCTGCCTTCCTGCTGCAGCTGATAAAGGTCTCGGTCTGGGAGCTGTGTCTGGACGTCTGTGGTCATGTGTGACACTAAATGCATAGACAATTTGCGCTAAAGTGGGGTTTTAAAATGCAGAAAATAAGAAAACTGCTAGACGTTTGTGTGTGTTTGTTGCGTTAGCTCTTTGATTTAAAGAAAAGATAAAAAAAAAAGAAACATAGCTGACACCACTGAGCAAATCTGAGCAGAGGAGAATTATTGTTGGGACATTTAGGACCTTATATTTCCAAAACAGGGCCCACTATGACTCAGGCTGCTATTGTAAGATATTGTCAACAGAATTTAATTGTATTTTCATGCACATTGATAATAAAGGCGTCTTGAATCTTAATCTTTTACGTCCTTTCCGTTTAGGATTACAGACAAATTGCTTGGCATTAAGTCCCCTAAATTATTAAAAGGTACTAAAGAGATTTTTAAACTAATTATTTGCTTGTGCTGACAATTTTCTGACTTTGAGTTGGTCTTCATGGTGTGATGACACTCTATGAGTTAGAGGGTTTAAGTTATGCTCCAGGCTCCTTGTTTGGATGACAGGACTTTCTGAAGATTCAGGACCTTGCGGACTGCAGAAACTTATAGGGAATCCAAATGTTTTGGATTGTTGGGTGCTTAAGCGCAATGAGATGACTTGTTGTTGTAAAAGTGCGCTGTACAAATAAAATTGAATTGAATGGAATTGAATTCAGGGTCTCATGGGATCTCTGCTCACCAGGCAGAGCAATTTCAAAACCACACAACACTGCGTATGTGTTATTTTGTGTTTGTGGCTGACAAAAATCGAGATGAAACAGCCCAAGATGAAAGGCTTTGTCGTCCACTTCTGCAGAAAATGACATTTGAAGGCAATTTGAAACAGTGATTTAAACATAAAAGATTTACGTCGCTGAGATGAATGAGCCTAACATTCAACACAAACCCAACCACTGCCAAATAGCTCAGAAAGTTGAAGAAGCAGCAGCAGAAGCGCCTCTGATCTTGGGACCAGTAACCACTACAATAATCACACTACTTGGCCAAAGACCTTCAACCAAAGACTACACGACTGCTTTTCTCTGAGGCAATGTTGGACAATCGAACAAAGAAATGCAGTCTGCAGAAGACATTTTGAATCCTGACATTAACTGAATTTTAATACTCTACATACGTGCTTGTAAGGCAACTTTTCTTTGGACAACAGGGAACACCAGCTGTAATTTGTGTTGTACTTTCAGAGATACCAACAGAAGCTCTGTGTTTTATTTCTGTGTTGGATTTGAGGAGCGATGCGACGCACCAGTTTATCAAACTTTAAGGCCGTCATTCTTCTTTTCATCTCCGGTACCGATGTACTGTGTTTCCTGTCCTTTGTCCTTAGACACACACTATGTCAACAACAACAAACAAAGAGGCTCCTCTTCCTGCTACCTTAAAGTTGCCAGTTTCACGTACACACAACGAATATATCGACATATGTTGTGACAAAGTGGGCTTCACGGTGGAATGAAAGGTGACTTTTTTATTGTTTTTAATGGATCTTTCAATGACTTTAAACAGAATCAAGTCTTAGGGGTTTGCTTAAATCCTGCTACATTTTCGAGGATATAAGTAAACATCCCTCAGGTGGACCACTACAGTCAACAGCACATGGTGTTGTGCTATGAAGTTACAAACCTTAACTTCAGCCTTAACTACACTTCCTTGGGGGGACATCGAATTTGAGACGTGTAAACATTGTCATCTGTGGCTAAAAGTGTGTCTGATGTTTTTTCCTCTGGTGCAGTTTCAGCTAAAAATGTTAATTTCCATGTTACACACCAGATACACAAAGAGGTTGGCGCGTATGGGAGAGAGTCATTTTGGTTAGTGTGTTTAAGAAGAGGACGTTGTGTGTTTTTTATCATTACATAAGTGTTTCCAACTTAAAAACATCTGGGTTAAGAGTACATGACTTTACATGTTAAACACACTCAGACACACAAGTCTACATTCGGACTGCAAACACACAGAGACGGCTTATCACCCCAGTACAGTCTGTTCAATCTGTTGTGGTTGCCTAACTCCAGATATGGTGTGTGTGTGTGTGTGTGTGTGTGTGTGTGTGTGTGTGTGTGTGTGTGTCAGTGTCAGAGGAAACCTTCATTTAAAGGTTTTTCATCGCTTTTGGACCAAAAAAAAACCAAAACACTTTTCCATCAAACTATCTCATGCTGCTCGACTTGTGTATGACTGGTTACCATGACAACCAATAAAAAGTGTTGTGCTGAGATGCGTCTTGGCTGAGATCAGTAGACACTCTTTAAATCTCAGTTTTTATATGGATTAAACTAACAAACATCTGTTATTTTTATGAGTGAGTCTTTATGCTTAGCTAACAGTGCTGTTAAAGACTCTTACTGCGGAGCACAAAAAGACAGTTGGGTGAATTTGCTGTCCTTTTATCACCAACTCCCTGGCTTTGACGTAGTTTCTTTCTCTCACTGTTCTGCTCAGCGCTGCCGGTAGGATTGTTATTTTGCTGGGTGTGTGTGAGAGCTGAGCGTCGGCCTCAGCAGGCAGTACATCTGCTGACTTGTTTCCTTCTCCGTTTGTCTGATTAGTCAGCAAGGGTCCGGCTTGTATTGTGGGACTCTGACAGCTAATCCAGCTCCCATTCAGCCAAATGAACTGTCGCTGCTGCTAATGGGGAAACCCCCGGGCTCCACTTTTACTGACTTTCATCACGTTTTCAGGTTCTGCTGAGCCGTGTGTTTTGGCTCCACATCCGCACTCAGTCGGTGCTTTTTGTATTGTTTTTTTTTTTTTCCAACGTGGTGGGGCGCATTTTTAGAACGGAGAACAAGCATGTATTGTTTTTCTTTGTTGTGTTTTTTATTGCCATGATATGGCTAAACCCTCAAGAAAGAACCGTCATGAGTTAAAAGTGCATGTCAGGCTTATTAAAAAAACAAACAAAAAAACCCACATTTTAAGCTGCTTGACCTTTAAAGATGTGGTGGTGTGACCTTTCAAAAGTTCCTCAGATTTCTCTAAATCCATCTTTCTTTACAAACAAGATCCCCCTTCCTCCTCAAGCCAACTTTTAAGGAAAATACATAAAATTAGAGTTTTTCATGACCACCACATAATAAATGTA